GAAATGTGCGCTGCTTTTCGGTCTGGTTACTACCGTTTATGACAGAACCGGTGCCATCATGGCACCGGATACCGGTACCCATCCCTACTTCTCTCCTTTTTACTCCTTGCAATATTGTGTTTAGCTCTTAGGTGCTTGCTCTCCCTTTTCCCCCTCCTACAGCCACTTGTGGAAATTGCTGACTGGTAACTTAAAATCACTGCTGGAAATAGACAAGTCTTGCATGACCTTGCTACTCTAGCTTTTATCAGACTGCTCCCCTCTTTGCCCCGTTAGCATTGAAACATCTGATTTGTCTCTTTCTATAACGTTCACTTCATTTACAACTTTCATTTTCAAACAGCCAGACTAAACTCAGCAGGAGTGATGTGATACACACTGACAGAAATCCCTTCACTTCCTCAAACCTTGTTAAATGATCCCAGATAAGCACTCAGGTTCAGGTCTGTGCAGAGGCACTCGAGCGGAAGAATGGAACGATTAATACAGTCTGACGTTGGTGTTAACTGCAATCAATGTTTAGTAATGGGCTGTTTAATGCGGAGGAAGCCGTTCTACTCCTAGGCCATTACTGAGAAGTACCCTGCTGAGAGTGTAACTCTGTATATTGTCAGGGACTCAAAGTAGGATGGTATTCATGTATTACTCTACTGAAGGGCATTGTTTTGAGGGGGTGAATAGATACTTATACTATGGGCAAGATGTAATTGCTTTTAAACATGAGCCGAAATCAATGCTGTGTCACAATCCTCTTTAAACACTTAGTCCAGTTTGCCCTTGAGCACTAGAATTGCTGTCAGCTTACAACATCACAGCTAAATAATGAATAGATGTACTGCAGGGTCTCTCTAAATTAGTTAAAAATGTAGTAACAAGTGATTATGCTTCACAAATACATAATTAGGATAACTGAATCATAAGAACAGGCTATTTGGTCCCTGTACAGTGGTAGTAAGAGCTTGTTTGACAGCGCCAGTAATAAGTTCATGCTGGGGATTTCATTCCAACAAGGCTGCCAGATTCTGTTTAACCTTTATATTGAGAATTTCAAGGTTATAGTTCAATAGTTTTGGATCACATCTTTGTCTTTTGGAGATAATGTGGTCATACTTTATCAAGCGATGGCCTCAGACTACAGTAGTACTAACACAGTCTGTTACTGAGTTAAATAGCATCTCCACATAGCGTTGGGCAGTATGACCAAAAGTTTACATATGGTATTTTTGTAGGTTTTGGTGGTTTCACTGTATGTCCCAATATTATTTTTGTATAAGCAAAGCTTTTTTTAATGAATTTATAATGTATTAGTCACAGCTGATGTAGACAAGTGGTATCGACACAATGCTTCAAACTACTTTGTGAAAATTGGAATAAAAGATGGCGTTAGCTAGCATGACAGCAAATAGTTTAAAGTCCCTTTTGCAGCCAGCATTACCCAACAAGCATTGATGATGTAACTTTTTTAACTGTGTAATTATCGGTGTAAGAAACAGATTATGTTTCACAAATAATTGTATTTTATGATGCTGAAGTTAGTTCTTTTGGCTGCTCCGTTTAGGGTCCACACAGTAAATCATGTGCCTCAATCTCAGTGTATCTGTAGTATCATCCTCTGTTACACTAACTCTCTGCATGCCCTTCTCAACCACATCCATGAATTTTCTCTGTGGTCTTTCCTATGGCCTAGCACCTCAACATCTTTTGTCCAATATGTTTACTGTCTCTCCTTTGCACATGTCCAAACCATCTCAGCCATGCTTCTATAACTTTGTTTCCAAACTGCTCAACCTGAGCTGTTCCTCTAATGTACTCATTTCTAAGTCGGTGCATTCTGGTCACTCACAATGAAAATCTATACATCTTTAACTCTTTTTGTCAGCGTCATAGTTTTCCAAACCAGACACCTTTCCCCTATGGTGCTATCCTTCTGTCACAGATCACCCTGGAGATATAATCTCCACCCACTCATCCTTGTCTGGACTCTCTTCTTCATTTTCTTCCTCTTATGTGTCCTGCACCACCCTCACATGCAGTACCACATATCCTGTCTTGGCAACCTATCGTATAGATCCACAGAGACACAGCAGCAACTCTTTCTTCCCTTCTTTATATGTCTCATCAACACTCTCAAAGCAAACATTGTATCTGCAGTCTCATTCTTGGCATGAAGCCACACTGCTGCCCATTAGTTGTCACCTCTCTTCCTAACCTAGCTTAAACAACTCTTCCCCAAAGCTTCATGGTATGGCTCATTAGCTTTACCCCTTTGTACATCTCTGCATGTCACCCTTGTTCTTGAAAACTGGTGCCATTGCACGTCTTCTCCATTCCTCAGGTATCCTCTCACTCTCTTTAATTTTATTCAACAGTCTGGTTAAAAAGTCCACTACCTTAAACATCTCCATACCTCCACAGGTATGTATCTGGGCCCTTTCCACTCATCTTCTTCATAGCTGATTTCACTTCCTCCTTACTAATACTCTGCACTTCCTAATT